GTTCAGCTTTATTCCTCTCGGTTGTTTACTTGATTCATGTGACTATTTTGTTATGTACTTACTGCCCATAACCTATTCGATAAAATGTCAAGTCCTCCCTATTTTTCCTTGTTTTGATAAAATGTCAAATCCTAAGATACACTGCTGCTATTTCTTTAGTGTATGCATACAGTTGGAGATTGTGAACAAGAAAACACCACTACGTTGCACGAAGAATCATCACGTGCTATAGGAAGCACTAGCACAAATTGTGGTATTTAGTAAGTAGTGACTTCCAAAGATAGTTAACAATTAGATTTAAAAAAATGACCTACTTTTGAACTTGAAATCTTCATCTTACCCCAAAAAAAAAAGGTTATCTTTAGTTGTCAACTCGTGTAATGATTAACTTTAACTAGCTAGGTGCATGGGCAGCGAAAGCCAGCACTATTGCAAGCTGTTTAAAGTATATTATTACTACGATGTTTCCAAGTAAGGTGTATATATATTGCTTGGGAAAAGCTTTTGTTGAAATATCTCAAATATCTCGACTCTCTTGAGTTAGATATAAGCTGCTTATATATATGTGTGTGTGTGTGTGACAGCCCCACCTCACCCTAAGGCGAACCAAAGGGTTCAGCGGACCGCCTGCCCAACTCTCGCTGGGACTCAGTCGAACCTCAATCAAATCCGAAATAAAACCACAAGATCAAACGAAATAACAATCCAAAACTTAAAGTGAAACTTATATACATTTCTATCTCAAAAGGGAGTACAAATATCGAATATATAAAGGTTCTCAATTCGTCATACATCCAGCCCGTGCCAAGCACTAGGGCGAGAACCATTACAAACCAAAAAAACTAGACTAGGCTCGTGTGACGCCCCGAAAAAAAAATGAGTTTGAGAACCCGGAAATTTTCTAATTTTCTAGGGTTTATTTTTTTAACGCCCGCCTTTTCTATATTTTCTTTATTAGAAAAATTCCCCAGATAAAGTTTATGAGCAAAGATAGTTTTAAAATGATTTTTCTAGTATCGGTTAGTTTTTGAGAAATTAAAAGCGTATTTTGGACGTGGGACCCGCAAGTGCGATAAATGCATTATATTTTTGACAACTTGTTGGAATTTTGTATTAAGTGATATTATTTTACAAAGTGTTAAGATATTTGTATTGGAGAGACAAAAAGATAAGTTTTAAACCTAAAGGGTGACAAGTGTCACCTTCCTATTCAACCTTGACTTTGACCATTATTTCTTACCTTTACTAATACTCAATTTTGACCCAAAAAGCACCTAAATTTCTGCAAGCTTGGCTGAATGTTCTTGTTCAAGAAAGAAAGAAAAGCTCTCAATTTCTTCCTTCTATTTCTTGCCCAATCTCACAAACCAACCGTTAAAACCGTGATTTGCTCCATAAAAACCTTTCTCTTGGTGGTATTAAGGTGTGTGGTGAAGTGGTTTGAGAAGCAAATGTGCTAAGTTGGGTCTTTCCTTGGGTTTGCATGGTAAGTGACTAAGGAACCTTTCCTTTGATCTTAATTGATGTTCAATTCATGATTGGTGGTGGTTGAATAAGTGATTTTATGGATGATTTCATGATTTTGGTTGAAATTAGTGAAGTTTTATATTTAATTAGGATTTTTCTGTTCTCATATGATTGTTATTATGTGGTTATGAATGATGATTGGAAATGATAGTTGAGGAAGCTAGAAGGTGGAAAAGTGATGAATTGCAACCAATTTCTGTTTTGGACCAAAAATTGAAAAGTAAGGGTTTTGTGATGAACATTCTGCCCGAAATTTTAGGTCCTATATAGAGGCCGAATTGGCCTTAGCTCAAAACATGAAAGTTGTATGGAATGACATTTTAAAGGTGCCTACAAAATTTCAGGGCAATTGGAGTAGTGTAGAATGAGATAAGCCGAATTTACTGTTGCTGTTCTGGATTCATCAGGATGTAAGAACTGCGTCTGAAATGGGTTGTTTTGACTGGAATTGTTTTGGATTTGGTTGTTGAGGTCTTCTGATGAAATGTAGCTTGGTGTCTTAGCTACCGTATGCCTTTGGAATTTCTGCATTTGGACCTGTATAGACGGAGTTGGACTAATTACAGCATAGTGTGATTTGTAAACCTGTAATTACGGTTCTGGTTTGTTATTTGGCATATTTGACTTAGTTGTGCTGGGATTTGGACTGAGTGACCTTCTACATTGTTGTAGCCCTGATTCTTAGCTTCGAAACGGTGGGTCTTGGACCTCCATCCGACAATCGTAGCGCCTTTGATACCATTACCGCAAAATGACGTCAAAACTATTTTTCTGGTTTTGAGCTTAACTTTCATTTCCGGACTTTTCCCTAGCTTGACTTGTACTAGTACTACTTGGAGCTTGCTGAATGGCTATTGGATGAACTTGTTGTTATGTGTGTACCTTTGGGTTGGAATGAGGAAATAATGAAGCCATGATGGCTGGAAAAGTTAACAAATTCAGAGGAAGTGCTGTCCGAACTTTGAAGGGATTTGTTTGCATTGAGTTTGTGATCTAAGACTTGGATTTGCGCAAGGCAATGTTATATGCTGGATGATTTCTGAGCCGTGGAGGTGAGTGACCCTAAACTATTTCCAAAGTACTTGTGAAATGTTTCTTGCATTATGTACTCGATTGCATCTCATGCGTGCTTGCATGTGAATTCATGACATGATTTGGCTTCAATGAGTTCTGGGAAAGTCTTGTGCTGGACACCAACGTCTCCACCATTTTCGTGAGTTCGTGACATGATGGAGCAAATGGCTCCGGAGCTCAAAAAGGGGCTCCCTCCTAATGTCAATGTTAATGTTAAATGATCTATTTGAGCATTGGGTGTTCAAGTGCTGTGATTTCACCGGCTCACGAGAGCACTAAACGTACATTTGATCTCTGAATCATGACATCATCGAAATGATCGAAATGCAACATTGTGAAATATATTTGTTTAATGATTTTACTGGTTACTCGCTGAGCTTCTAGCTCACCCCAAAAATATTTTATTCCCCTCCACAGGGCTCAAAGCGAAGGAAGGACTTGTTGTGCTTATTCACGTGATTGGATGGCTTAGTTGGAATTGTTATATTTTGTACCGTTTGGATGTGGAATCATTTTATGTATAGTTTGGGGAATTAGTTTCCGCTGCATTTGTGACATGTAATTATTGGAGACTGTGATGTATATTTGAGGTTTATTCTTGTAATTCATTTGAGGATTGTAGTGAACGACTGAGTCCCGGCGAGAGCTGGGCAGGCGGCCCGCCGAACCCTCTGGTTCGCCTTAGGGGGAGGTGGGGTCGTGACAGCTCGAGTACACTGGGCTCTCGTCCCTGCTCGCATCCCCCTATTAATGAAAACAAAACTAAAGGGGTGAGCTAAAAGCTCAGTGAGGTTCCGAACACATAGGCAAACAATAAATCCAATGCATTCACTACATATCACCAATAATTCAAGATACATGTACAATATAAAGCGATAAACACATTCATTAAAAGGATACGGGCTCATAGGGAGCCATTCATTCGTTCGTTCATTCGTTCTCCTGTCGTTTCTCCTTATTCCTCCAATCATTTGAAAATGTATTTTTGCAAATAAAACCCTCGTTCGTTCATTCATTTCGTTCACCCCCTTCCTGGACGTTGGCCAGGCTCCACCAGAATTCTAGGTAATACTCGAGTATACCAAATTCACCCAGGGTCACCATATCGCCCGATCGAATCCGCTTCTGGCTCGAGTCGATCGGTAACGAAGGGCAGGGCCCAGTTCAGCCAAAAGGCTTACATACATGCGCATATAATCATTCAATCATTGAAAATTTCACAATCATTTAGGTCGAGTGTGATAAAGTACACACTCGCCTAGAAAACTCGTTTTGGCAATCATTAAGAGCAATTAACACATTACCAAACAATAACAACAAGCCATGAAGTCAAGGAAAATATAGAAACAAAGAACACTCACCTATTTAAGCAAAATAACGTCCAAAGTTTCCTTCCGGATACAAATCAATTCATCACAAAGTGTGGTTCATACCTGTTCATCAGCAAAAACAAATTTCTGGTATCTTGTGGGAGACTTTTGTGAAGAAGCAACGTGCATCTTTTCCTGAACAGTAACGTGGGCTGACCATCCTCTCATTCTTGGTCTGATATCAGCAATGCAGAGCAGATTCACCATTCTACTAAAAAAAAAAGTTTTAAGTAAGTATAACTGATGAACCTGTAGTATTGGGACAATTGCCTCGGGTTTCCTTTGAACTGGCATTCTTAACTACAGCAACAACTCCTCCTATTAGCTAAGAAAACATTACAATCAAATGCTTAAAGATACAACTTTTTTATGCTTAAAACAAAGCAGGACAATCCACTATACTGCTGATTAATAAAATCCCACATTGCAAATTAAGATTTACTTCAAGGTCAAAGAACAGTTGCATACAAAACTTAACTATTTAAATGATGAGGAAAGTACAATCCAAAAATAGAGCATTTAAGGGAGTAAATTGACAAATGGGAAAAACAAACCAGAAATAAAAGCTACTGCTTAGCTAACGTAAGAACTTCATCAAAGACCACATTTCTAGTTTTGCATTCAGTGACTGTGTCACGATATGTTGCTGGCACTATTAGGACTTTAACTGCAGATGAACTTTTTGCACGGGAAAGGGCAACGTATAGCTGGCCATGAGAAAAAACAGGTTCACGCAAGTAAATCCCTACATCATCCAAAGTCTGTCCTTGAGACTTGTTTATCGTCATGGCAAAACACAATTTGATAGGAAACTGAGTTCTTTTAAAGGGTATGCCATTCTTTTCGCCGTCGGAAGTTTGGAGAGGAATCTTTGGCAAGAAGACTTTTTACCGCAGTACTGACCCACTGCAATCTCTGCACAAATAGTGTTGTGCCGGAGCTCTCGGCATATAAGCCTGGTGCCATTACAAAGGCCTTCCATTGGGTTTAAGTTTCTGAGAAGAATAACTGGACAGTTCTCCTTTAAGATCAGCTTATGAGGGGGTAACCCTTTGGACTTAAAGAATTGAGAAAGTCTTCATAGTCGCCTTGATCTTTCTCATTTAAAGTTCTATCAGAACTTATATAAACATGCGGATCTTTAGGAAACCTATCAATAATGATCTGGTTAACATCATCAACAGCATTGTTTGTTGGTGATAGAATACACCGATTAATCATCTGATATGGATCTGAAGCATAGATGTTTAGATCACCAAAAACAGATTCTATTAACCTGGTGATTAAAACACAAAGTCAGAACAAAATACCGAGGGTCAACTAAAAGTAACCTATCACATAAATAAATGATATAGTAACACTATACAGAAGAAATATAGTCACCTGTTAAGAGAAGCTTCCTTTCCATCATAAGGGATGATCATATCCTTACATAAAGATATTTTGCCGTCTTTGTCTTCTGGTTCACGGCCCTCGCCTATCCGTAGCAAGAATTCAGAGAAAGCACGATCCATAACAGCCCTCATATTTTCAGTTAAAGTAATTTTCTGCAAAGCACTCCAGAGAGGGGAGTTAACAAAACTTGACTGAACCAAAACATCTCTAGTTGCATCTCGAATCACAGGTAGGGTCTGCCGGAAATCACCTCCGAAAACCACTACCTTGCCACCAAAAGGATCATCGCTTTCCATTATATCTCTAAGAAGCATATCAAATGCTTCGATTGTTTCCTTCTTAGCCATTGAAGCTTCATCCCACAATATAAGTTTGGCCTCTATAAGCAACTTAGCAATAGAGCTTTGCTTACTAACTTGGCAAGCCTTAGTTTTAGATATGTCAAGAGGGATCTTAAAGCGCGAATGCGCAGTCCTCCCACCAGGAAGAATGGAGGCAGCAACACCGGACGATGCTACAGCAATGGCTATATAGCCTTGAGAACGCAGTGTAGCAAGGAGTGATCGATAAAGAAAAGTTTTCCCCGTTCCACCAGGGCCGTCGATGAAAAAACTTTGGGCTTTGGTCGAGAAAACTTGTGCCATGATAGAGTCATAGGCACATTTCTGACCTGCATTAAATTTTGAAGACATTAGCAAATCCTCCTCTGCGAACTGAACACTTCTCTCAGCTTCAATTTCCTTTGTAATCCGCTGATCCAATGTAACACCAAGATAATCAGAAACCAAGTGAAAATCATTTACACTTTTACCCATTTGTTCCAAAAATTTGCTGAGCTCCTGAAGAACCAACATTCTGATGTATTCAGAAGAATATCCAGTGAGTGAACTATGTTTTTGATAATCCCTTGATAGTTCAGTTTCATACTTTTCCCACAGGTGTTTGGGGTTTGATGGGGAGCAGAAAGCTAGCATCACAGCAAATAAGCTTCTGAGCGAAGAAGGCATCTGGAAAGTAGCAGCCTCATCAAGGGTGTCTTCGATATACGTATCTGATTGTAACAATCCCATTTGGAAAGCAGCTTCTCTGTAGGAATTCATACGTATGCCATTTACAGTCAACAAGTGGTCAAATGAAGCAGGTGCACAGACACAAGACAAAAGCAACCTCAAGAAATATCTTTCTCCTTCTGCTGGGCTAACAGTCACCAATCGGCCAACAACTTTTCGCCGTTTTCTTTGAGACCAACGCTTCTTGGCTGGCTTCCATACAAAAAACTCAGGAAATTGTTTGTAAAGCAGCTTGAGCTCCTGAGCATACTTATTTGTTTGATTCATATAAAAGAACTCAGTCAGCATTGTCTTTGAGAAGTCAACATCAGCAACCAAATCAGCAAGATTAGTTTTTCTGTGAAAAGAAACCATTTGCTCTCCAGGCAGATGGACCTGTAATGCGTAGACGCTCGGGTCATTTCATTTAAACCAAACCGAAATATGCGCCAAAAAGCTTCTGCAGCAGCGACCCATCGCCCAGACTGGAAGTCGGAAATCTCATCAACATCTTCAAAGGTTTTGTCAGAGTGGATATAAAAGCTCACACGATCATGTCCTTTATAAACATATTTGTACAGATACTTAACTAACTTAACAGTGGAACAGATTTCCACATTCAAGTGGCAGTCAAACAATGCTAGAAGGTATGGATTATATGGAACAACCCATCTGTTATCTAACAAATGATCCCTTACTCTTACACAGCGACCATCCATCCTTCTCCTATAATGAGGATAACCATCCTCTGTATAAGTTGTGTAGTCAGTGAAGCTCTTTGGATAATGGTTCTTGCACACTCCATCTTTCATACAAACATTATCTTTTTTTAACGAACCACATGGACCATGCAACATGTGTTTCATAACCAGAAAGTGCAAATGAGGTTGCTTCGCAGGATCAGGTATTTCAGCCGAAACTATCATGTCATAAGCTTCAGGATTGAGGGGCTTATATTCTGGTTTCAAAATGATCAACATATGAGCATGAGGAAGTCCTCTCTTTTGAAACTCAATCACATACACACAAGCAGCAACTTCACCAAATATTTTCTTTTTTGTGATTTCAGCCTTTAATAATTCCAACTTTGCTCTAAACACTCTTGAAACTAAATCAGGTCTATCCTGAGCTTCTTCTCCGTATTTGAGGTTGTCCTGTATTTCCTTCCACATCCTATTACAAGTCATGGTAATGAATATGTCAGGTTTACCGTACTCTGGACCAAAGACATAGCATCTATATACCTCCGTCTCATGTCCCTTGGACCACCAATAAAGGAAGATGGAAGGTAAACTCTTCGGCCAACCTTACTACCTTCGGTCTGACCAGAAGAGATGCTATCTGTTACACCTTTAAGAATTTCAGTTCTAATTTCTTTTTGTTTTTTCCTATGGAATTCAAGCCTAGAGGTCTCTATCTTAACATAAATATCAACGGCGAACTGCTGCAAGAGTCTCCCTGTGTGCAAGAGCATTGACCTATCATTGTCTCTAATCTGCAATTTGTAGCAATAATATTCTCGAGCAGAAACAGTGTCACGTTTCTTTTTTCCCTCCTCAGCAGCTAAAAAATGAAAAACAAAAGATAAGAAATTTAATATTTTTAAAAACCAATTAACCATTGAAGAAATTATATATTGGTAGGACAAGTTTAAAAGACTTTTAAACAAGACATGAGGACAAACATAAAAGAGTAAATAACAGGCAGCAAAAATGGCAATAAAAAAAATAAGCAGAATTAAGTAAAATTCTTCCCTTGAGGGGAAAACTGAATGTAGGACAGCAAACGAAGAATGATCTTCAGAAATAAAGATACCTTCATTTTCCCTTTGAATATATTAAAACTAGCTCAACTCGTACTTCAAAACATCATAGTCCCCAAAAGTGGTTCCCTGTAAGGAAAACAAAGGCAACAGAAAGGGGTGAGCTTACGCTCAATGAGGTACCAATCATATAGGGGTAAAATCATGGCCTTTCACGTTAACCAGTCAGATACATATACCAGATATATAGGAAAGCAGTTAGACACAGTGATTAAAAGGGAAAGGATACAAGTGGCTCTCAGGATCCAGACTTCCATTTGCAGTACTTGATCCGAACCCGTTAACTCTCCGTCAACGTAAAGAGAACCAACATATCCGTAGACCCCACTTTTGTCACGACCCCACCTCCCCCTAAGGCGAACCAGAGGGTTCGGCGGGCCGCCTGCCCGGCTCTCGCCGGGACTCAGTCGTTCACTACAAACCTCAATTAAATACAAGATACGATCTCAAATAAAAATCAAATATCCCAAAACCTTACATATCAAAAGCGAAGCGTCCACGCTTCCACTGCGCCACTCTGATCCTTGATACCAACTATTATACAGGAGGAAGTCCAAAACTAGACTATTACACAACCAATCAATTCTAAACGTTCAATACAATCCCAATATGAACCATTACGCAAAAAGGAAATCCAAATTCAAGCCACACATGAGATAATCCATGAATAAACACTACAAGACACTCCTTCGCCTTGAGCCCTGTGGAGGGGAATAAAACAATTTTGGGGTGAGCTAGAAGCTCAGCGAGTAACCAATAAAATCAGTAATCAAATCTGTTTAACAATAGTTCATTTCAATGATGTTCAATTCAAATCAAATGATAAGTCCAGAAACAATTTCAACGTTTACAAAACATTAAATATGGAGTATCAATAATTCAAGAAACATGTACAATGGAAAGCGATAGTAACATTCGTGAAAAGGATACATTCGTTCTCCTGTAATTTCATTGCATTTTTGGTTTCATTCGTGCATTCATTCACCCCGTCCCTGGCTTTTGGCCAGGCTCCACCAACCTACAAGGTAATACTCGAGTATACCGAAACGTTCACCCAAGTTCCTAGTCGCCCGACCGAGTCCGCTTCTGGCTCGAGACGACCGGTAACAAGGGGCAATGGCCAGTTCAGCCCAAAAGGCTTACATTCATGCGCAAGTAGCATTTAATCATTAATCATTGAAAATTTCATATTTATTTAGGTCGACTGCGATAAAGTACACACTCGCCTAGAAAACCCGTTTTAACAATCATTGAAAGCAAAATCAATAATAACAAGACACTGATATGCAAGCACGCATGATATGTAAGAAAACAGTTCCAAAATTAACTTTGAAAACAGTTCAAAAGTAAATAATGCGGGAAAGCGGTTCAAAAGTAAATTTGGAAACAGTTCAAAAGTAAATAATGCAAGAAACGGTTCATAAATAATTTTAGAAATAGTTTGAGGTCACTCACCTCAATGGCTCAGCAATCATCCATCATACACTCAATGCAATCAAGTGCTTTCAAAGTTCGGACAGCACTTCCCCTGAATTTGCTTACTTTTCCAGCCATCATGGCTTCATTATTTCCTCATTCCATCCCAAAGGTACACACACAACAACAAGTTCATCCAACAGCCATTCAGCAAGCTCCAAGTAGTACCAGTCAAGCTAGGGAAAAGTCCGGAAATGAAAGTTAAACGCAAAACCAGAAAAACAGTTTTGACGTCATTTTGCGGTAATGGTACCAAAAGCACTACGACGGTCGGATGAAGATGCAAGACCCACCGTTTCGAAGCTAAGAGACAGGGCTACAACAATGTAGAAGGCCACTCAGTCCAAATCCTAGCACAACTAGGTCAAATATGCAGAATACCAAACCAGAACCGTAATTGCAGGTTTACAAATTACACTATGCTGTAATCAGTACAACTCAGTCTAAACAGGTCCAAATGCAGAAATTCCAAAGGCATATGGTAGATAGGACATCAAGCTACATTTAATCAGAAGACCTCAACACTCAAATCCAAAAAAATTCCAGTCAAAATAACCCATTTCAGACGCAGTTCTAACATCCTGATGAACCCAGAACAGCAATAGTAATTTCGGCTTATCTCATTCTACACTACTCCAAGTGACCTGAAATTTTACAGGCACCCTTAAAACATCAATACCTACAACTTTCATGTTTTTAGCCAAGGCCAATTCGGCCTCTATCTAGGACCTAAAATTTCGGACAGAATGCCCCCCTCAAGAACCCTAGTTTTCTGAATTTTCTTCCAAACCAGAAATTGGTTGCAAATACCAATCATGTACACCTACTAGAGTCATTAACCATCATTTCCAACCATCATAGATAGCCACAACATCATGATCACATTAAACCAGAAAAATCACCAATAAATTGAAAACTTCATCAATTCATCCAAAAGCAAAAAAATAAACCACAAAATTCATCCCTTTAGCTACCACTAGGCACAAGTTAAGCTTCATTAAGTGTAGGAGAAAGTTCAATCACCACTCACCTAGTAAACAAGAGAGGGAGAGTTGTAGGACACCTTAGCTCCTCCAAACACTTCACCAAACAAACCACTAACACCTAGTGAAAGGGTTTTATGGAGTAGAAACTAGTTTATGTGATTGTTTTTGGAAGCTTGAGCGAAATGGAAGCTAAAATGTTGAAGAGTTTCTTTCTTCTTTGCTCAAGAGAGAACCAGCCATAGAGGAGAAGAAAAGAGTGAATTTTAGTGATTTTTGTGAGATATTTAACCACATGGTCAAAAGGTCAAAAAAAAATGAATAGTAAGTCATAAAGGTACAACCAATCCCAACATGACAAGTGTCACTTCATTAATGCATTCTTATCCTTCTTTTTTCCTCTCACATCAATCACTTCACATCCTCTATTTATCTCTTAACACCCGATAAATTTCACCCAGTATCCGGAACTTAACCTAATTGGTCGAATTTTTCCGAACTTTTCGCCCTAGTGGGTCCCATATCCGGTATACACTCTTAATTTCTCAAAACCTATTTGAAACTAGAAAAATCATCCAAAAACTATATCTGCTCATTAAAAATATCTAGAAAATTTCCCTACTAAAGAAAACGCAGAAAACAAGCCATTAAATAAATAAAACCCTAGAAAATTAGAAAATTTCCGGGTTCTCAAACTCATTTTTTTTTCGGGGCGTCACAACTTTACACCAATTTTCCGTCCACCAAACATACCCCTACCGGGCCCGAACGCCGAACAGAACAGAAGTGGTAATACTCGAGTATACCGGAATTAAGGGTCTCAATACCCAAAGATTCCTAAAACAGACTACCGTGGTTCGTTATCTAATCGACCAGGTCCTTGCCGGCCCGACTTGAGTAACTAGCCACAGGTGTTGAGCTCAGAGGTCACAGAAAGGTCGTTGGATACCAGCCTCCAAACGACGTCCGAACAGATTCAGATACAGTTAACAGATTAACAGTAAATAGGCATACGGACAGACAAGAGAACGAGTGTGATAAAGTATACCCTCGTCTCAAACAGAATAAACAGATAGTGCAGTCATTTAAATCACGGATTGCAGGGCAGAAATCAAGTTAAGCAACAAATGAGGGGAGTGGTACACTCACCGGTTCAAGTACGGATACTTCAAAAGTTTTCACTTCAAACTGGCTTTAATCGCCAAGAAACCCTAAAATCATCAAAGTAAAACAATTGAAGGTTTCACACATCCAAAATCGAGTAAACGGAATGTACAAGTAAGGCTCGACTACACGTTGTACGCCTTTCCAGGTTAAATACTAGTACAGGAAAATAAAAATATGACTTTTGAGTAAAAAAAATGACAGTTGGTCCTAGGGTTACAAACAATCCTCAAAACCCTTCATTTTTTTCAAAAGGCAACTCAAACCTAAAGAGACTAAACGGCCTAGAAAATTGGACAGCATTTCCACTAAATTTGCTTACTTTTCCAGCCATCATGGCTTCATTTTTCCTCAAATCAGCCCCAATGTGATACGCAATATAAATTTATCACAACAACCGTTCAATAGGCTCAAAGTCATTCAAATACAAAATTTAACTAGGAAAATGACCGGAAATGAAAGTTAAGCCCTAAAACCCAAAAATAGTTTTGACGTCATTTAGCGTATTGGACACAACCAGCACTAAAATTATCGGATGGAGGTGAAATATACACCGTTTCGAAGCTAACAGAAAGGGCTACAATGTTGAAGAAGGCCACTCAATCCAGTTTGTAGTGGAACTAAGTCAAAATTGCAATGTACCAACCCAGAACCGCATAAACAGGTTAGCAAACCGCATTCTGGTTAAACAACCGTAATTCAGGCTACCAAAGTCCAATTCACTTGATTCCAAAGCCATCCGAAATCTAAGATACTAGGATATATTTCTTAAGAAGATATCAACAACCAAATCTGTAGTATTCTCGGTCAAACTAACCAATTACAGAAGCAGATTCTTAGTCTCGGGTAACCACAGGGCAGCAGGGGTAATTTGGTCTTTTCACAGGTACGTTGCTCCGATTGAGCTGAAATTTTGTAGGATACTATAAAACATCATTCTATACAACTTTCATGTTTTAATACAAGGCTAATTCGGCCTCTAACTAAGGGAAACAGTACCGGGCAGAAAGGGGGTAATTAAAACCCTAAGTCCGAAATTTCCTTCCAAAGCGGAAATTTACCGTAATTAGCCACAAATTACGCACCATAGCTTCATTCTAGATCATTTTCCACCATCA